CTGCCCTCCGCACCTCCCGAGCTCCCGGTGTGTGACCGGCCCCGGGCTGGGGCCACCGGGGAGAGGCTGCCCCGTGCGCGTCGCCAGCGCTTCCATCCCTAAAACAAGGGCAGGGTTTGCGATCCTTCCACGAGCCGGGCTGAGCTCCAGCGCTTTGCAGGCTCGACCGGCCCCACGGGTCTCCCCGAAAGCCGCGGTCAGCGCCTGCCCACGGGGAGCAGCTCCCGCACGCCGGCCCGCGGCTCCCCGCAGGTGTCCCTGGAGGAGAGGGCGCTGCCATCGGCACCGCGACCGTCAGAGCCCGCAGCGCTGCGGGACAGAGCGGCTGGGCCGGGACGGGATAACCCCGGCGCGGTGCCGACCCCGCCGCAGCCGCACGCTGGGGTCTCCCCTGGGGCGAGGACGGGGTTTGGGAACGTTCAGCTGCACCCCGGGACCTCACATGGCCTGACCTCAGTGCGGGAGCGACCCTCGGAGGGGCGGCGTGGGCTGTGCCATGCACAGACCCCCCCACACCGTCTGTGGGACCCCCAAACACAGACCACTCCACATCATCTGTGGGACCCACAAACACAGACCTTCCCACACCATCTATGGGGTTCCCCCAAACACAGACCCTCCCACACCGTCTGTGGGGTCCCCCAAACACAGACCCTTCCACACCATCCGTGGGGTCCCCCCAAACACAGACCCCCCCACATCATCTGTGGGACCCCCAAACACAGACCTTCCCACACCATCTGTGGGGTTCCCCCAAACACAGACCCTCCCACACCATCTATGGGGTTCCCCCAAACACAGACCCCCCCCACATCATCCGTGGGACCCCCAAATACAGACCTTCCCACACCATCTATGGGGTCCCCCCAAACACAGACCCTCCCACACCATCTGTGGGACCCCCAAAAACAGACCCCCCCACATCATCTGTGGGGTCCCCCCAAACACAGGTCCCCCCCAACCTCCAAGCTCTGGCAGCAGCTCTGGGGTGCAGCAAAGCCCAGTGGGGATGGAGTCACCCCTGGCACCCACCTACCCCTGCCATCAGCTCGACCACCAGCCTGGGGCAGGCGATGCTGGAGCAGCCCAGGGTGGCCCCGCACACACTGGTGCACTCCTCAGGGTCCACACAGCCCACGGAGTCTGGGGGACAGAGGCAGGTGACAAGCTGAGACCCCTGACAGGGTGGGGGCCAGCCCTGCACCCCTTCCCCCCTCATGCCCCCTCCCACTGGGCAGATGTTGAGCCTTTGCCGTGGCCACCGTGGCCAGACCTTGGCAGGACAGCGGCTGGAGGAGCAAGGAGCACATCTCACCCGAGAGGTGAAAATCCTCCTCTGCTCCTCACTCCCACCCGCAGCTCCAACACCTCAGGGCCCGTCCCACCCCTCGCCTCCCGCTGCCCAGCCCGGTGCAGGTTGGATTTTTCCCACATTAAACCCAGTGACAGCTGCCAGGGGGAATCTCCAGAGCCAGAGGCAGCAGAGCCCCGGGGCCAGCCCGGTTCCTGCACCCTTGTGGCAATTTCCTGGGCATGGGCAGCACTAGCAGCTCCTGGGATTTGCGTGGCAGCGCTCCAGGACCATCAACACCCAATTATTTCTATGTCTCAACGAGTGATGAACCCTTTTTTTTTTTTTTTTTTAATTGTTACGCTCATAAAATATTGAAATGAATGGAAATTAATGTCAGGCATTAATATGGATGGGCTGCCCGGCTCTCCGGGCTGCACCCGCCCAGGCAGGAGCACGGGGACGAGCACGGGTGATCCCTGCACAGGACTGGCAGCACTGTCCTGGTTCTCCTGCCCGGTGACCTCCACCAACGAGCCCTCAGCCTCCCAGTTTGTCCCAAACACTGGTGGTGACACCTTGGCACCTTCCACAAAGGAGCGCGGGGTGAGCTGCGAGCACGACTCGGTTGTGGGCAGACCACAGGCCGTGCTCAGCACATCCCAAGGATGCCAAAAAGCCCAGCCTGGACTCAACCCTGAGGTCAGAGTCAGCGCTGAGGCTCCAGTGACTCCTTCCTGCAGCAGCCCTGAGCAAAGCTGCCATCAGCGCTCTGTGCCTCAGTTTCCCCTCTCTAAAACACCACGTTGTGCACGGCTCCATGCAAATCGTTGGTGGCTGGAGGGTGGAAAACGTCCCAAAGGGCAAGGCAGCGTCTGGATGTTGTGTTCCAGCTGAAATGCCTGCCCCAGGCCTCAGCTCTACCGAGGAACACTCGGTGGCACCTCGGCGTGAGTGGGAAGCAGGGTCCTTCGAGCCAGGAGCAGCGCTCGGTGTCATACCCCACTGCCTCACTCTCAGGCCCGCTGCTAAAAATGGAAAATTAGTTAGGACCTTGTAATTAATGCTTCCATCTGCAGGAAAGGGGCCGTGTCTGCAGCGGGTGCTGCCTGTCCAGCTGGATCCACCCGGGGACGCCTGGAACGATGAGGACCAACCTGCTCAGCCACAGCCAGCCAAGCCTGCAAACAGGGGCTGCACCCAATTCGGGGCCTAAATTCACCACGTGGGGTGAAGAAACGCCCGGGATGGGGAGATGGGGGACCCAGGTGAGCATCAGGTGGAGATGCTGCAGGTGTGGGGTTCTGCCACCCCAACCCGCCCCCGCCAGCAGAGCCAGCACATGGCGGCTGGGATGCAGCATTTACCCCACATGCAATAAATCATTAGTGCACACACACCCCGTGAAAGAGTCTGTAAATCTCCTGGCACAATAAAAACACCTGGAGCGAGCAGCTCAGGCGGCCAAAACCACAACACGCTCCTGCCACGCCACACACCCACACTCCAGCACCCATCTGGGCCATCTCCCATCACACCCAAAGAGGTCCTGGGTGCTGGCTCAGTGCTCACCTCTGTCCATTTGCTGTCCCCATCGCTGCCAGCAGCGCTGGGATTTCACCTAAAACACCCAGGTTTGGTTCCAGCCCCCTCAGTCTCTGCTGCAGCAGTCAGTGAGCAGGCCACAGCATGGGGATGTCATCCCACCCCTGGGAAATCCCTGCAGGGTCAGCCACAAAGTCACCAGCTCCACCTGAAACACCTCCTGAGCTGATATTCTTCGGGAGCCAAGCACTTGGATCTTCCCCAAGTTGATGTGGCACTTGGGGACGTGGTGTAGTGCTGGAGCTGGCAGCGCTGGGTTGGACTCGGTGACCCTTTCCACCCTTAGTGATTCCATGATCCCAACAAACTGCTGCCACATTCCTGTGTCCCCCAGCCCTGCTGCACCTCCTGCACGGGCCAGGCCAGGGCTGGGCACAAGCCCACGCAGGATTTGTCACTGTGGGACGAGCAGGGCCACTGTGCCTGCAGAGAGGAGCACTTTGATGGCCCAGCGCCTGGCCAGACAGGCGGCTTTGCCCCAGGAGCCTGACTCAGGCAGGGCCTCATTTATCCGGCTGTGAATCCAGATGAGCCACGCCAACGCCAGGGACAGACACACAGCCCATGGCACTTCCCTTTTTTTGCATTGGCGCAAGAATCTGACCCCAATTCCTGAAATTCGTCTTCAGCTGAGCTTCCAAGAGAAAAGCTCAAGAGAGCTTGCACAGTTCTGGCTTGTGAGCACCAAGTGGTGAATCCAGGGTGGGGTTTTTTGTCCATCTCACTGTTACTAATGAGACCTGTCACAGCCAGATCTGGTGATGTGGCCGTGACCACGCTGTAGAAAAAGGGAGAGGACAAGACAGGACATGACAGGACAGAATAGAATAAATGGTTTCATTTGGAAGAGCCCTACAACAATCATCTGGTCCCACTGCCTGACCAATTGAGGGCTGACCAAAAAAATTAAGGGCATTGTCCAAATGCCTCTTAAACACTGACAGGTTTGAGGCCTTGACCAGCTCTCTAAGAAGGTTGTTCCAGGATTGGAACACCCTCTACGTAAAGAAATGCTTCCAAATATCCAGTCTAAACCTGCCTCAGCGCAGCTTTGAACCTTTCTGGCAGCTCCCACTCGGTGCTGCCCACCCTGGACCCACCCTGGCTCCGAGCTCCTGCACCAGCACAGGAGGGGTTAACCACAGGACAGAGCTCTTTGGCTGGGAAATATTGACTTACCAGCCGGCACAGCGGGAGAGGGGGGAATCTCAGAGGGAGATTTAAAAAACAAATAAATAACGAAACGCCCAAACCCTCTGGAGCCGCCCAGGACCCTCCCACACCCGGGCGCTCCGGGGGGCTCCGGGCGCCGCAGGTGCGAGGGCGCACCAGCCGAAAGAGTTAATCGGGCTGGGCAGGGAACGTGTGAAGGCAGCATGTGACTGCAGGTGGGGCAGGGCGGAGGGATGAATCACTCTTTTCCTTTTCCTCTTTTCACTTCTCGCTGTTACCTGTCCGGCCCGGCACTGCGCGCCGGCAGAGCCCCGAGCCGAGCGCTGCCGGGGCGATGCGCAGGAGGCCGGGGCTCGGCGCCGAGCATCCCCCGCTCCTCCGGGAACGAGAACCGGCCACGGCACCTCGGCCGACACGTCCTGCTCCTCGCTGCCCTGCCTTTAGCCGCTTTTCTCTTTGTTTCTTCCCCAGTTTTTTTTATTTCATCCGGTGTTAGCGTTGTCTTGCGAGAGCGGAGGATGAGGAGGGAGCGGACGCGGGGGTGAAGGACCTTCCCGGTGCTGTAGGTACACCTGAGCTGTCTGCCCCAGCCTGCTGGGGGAAGCTCCGCGTTTTCCTTGCCAGAAAGCAAACCCTCCTCCCCGGCAGGAAGAGCTCCGGCGTGGCAGGAGCCGTTGGAAAAGGGAGCGGTGCCTCCGCCGAGCTGCGCGCTGAGCCGGGGAGGGTGAAGCGAACTGTGTGTTTAAGGACTGGAGAATAATTAATTCCTATTTATTGCCGACAACGCGGCGCTCGCTGGCGGCACAGAGCTCCCTCGGGACAGGGGACCGGCGTGCGGGGTCACCATGGCTTTCTCCCAGGTGCAGTGCCTGGACGACAGCCACGTCAACTGGAGGTCCAGCGAGTCCAAGCCCGAGTTCTTCTACAGCGAGGAGCAGCGCCTGGCCCTGGAGGCGCTGGCCTCCCGTGGCCCCGACGCCTTCTATGAAGTCCTGAAGAGGGAGAACATCAGGGACTTCCTTTCCGAGCTGGAGCTGAAGAAGATCCTGGACACGCTGGAGACCTACGACCCCGGCTCCGAGTACATCCCGCGGCACGGCAGCAGCGGCGGCGGCAGCGAGGGCGACAGGAACAGCCAGGGGGACGAGCAGGACGTGGCCCCGTCCCTGGAGTACTGGCCCCAGCGGTCCGACCGCTCCATCCCGCAGCTGGACCTGGGCTGGCCCGAGACCATCGCCTACCGCGGGGTCACCAGGGCCACGGTCTACATGCAGCCACCCATCGAGGGCCAGGCGCACATCAAGGAGGTGGTGAGGAAGATGATCTGCCAGGCTCAGAAGGTGAGGTGCGCCGCGGGGACGGGGCAGGATTGGCCCCAGGGCATCGTGCTCCAAGTCCTGCCCAGCCGGGCAATCCCTGTCCCGCGGGAAGCTCTGCCCGAGCAGAGGCAGCGGGGCCAAGCCGGCAGGTTTTGCCCTGTAACCAAGTGCTCGGGGGTCGGGTTTTGCTGGGGATGCTGCCAGCCGGGGTCAGCACTCCTGGCAGCAGCACAGCCCTGCCCAATATCCACCCAGCAGCTCTGTTCATCTTGGGGTCCCTGCAGGGCTCTGGGGAGAAAAACGGGTTGAGCTGTTCTCCAGCTGGTTCCAGCCACTCCACACTCGTTATTCCCGGTGTGACAGCATGCAGGAACCTGGGATTGTGTCCTGGTCTCAGCCCTGGGTCCACCAGCTGTCCTGTATTGACCCTGGGGTCATGGCCCGGCCTCAGTCCTCGTGTCCACCATCCGTCCAGTCCATGGCCCTGGAGCAAAGTACTCAAAGCTTCTGGCCTAGCACTGACCCACACGAGGGTCAAGCTTGGCCCGAGATGGCTGTGGGGCTCCAAGCTGGCTCACCCTGGCTCTCAGAGGACAAGGATGAGCTGGTGAGCAGGAGGGACAAGGCTGGGCAGATGCTGAAGGGATTTGGGTTGAGACTTGTCCTCCCTGTGGCACCAAGCCGAGGAGCAGGGAGTGGGGATGCATGAGCCATCACCCAGGGAAGGAGGGAGATGGTGGCCTGTGCTGAAGGCCAGCAGAGGTGGGAAGGTGCTGCTGGTGTTTCCCAGTGACCCAGTCCCAGGAGGGGTTGGTACCTGCTGGTTTCTTGGTGCTTTGAAGCTCCTTGGGTTCTGTGAATCCAGTACCGTGAGAGCTCCAAGGAAGGAGCTTCCCACCCCAGAGGCTGTTCCAGCAGGGAAACAGGGAGAGCCTGGAGCAGAGGGGACAGGCTGGGATGCACCAGGTCTGCCTGGCTGCTCCAGAGATAGTGCTGGGCTTTGCAGATCCTGCTAGGAGAGAGGGAAACCTGTGACATGCAGCCAGCAGAGCTTCTCCAGACCAGCTCAGGCAGAAAAATGAATCTCTCAAAACATCCAAGGCAGCGGGATCACGGGAATGGCTGTTGGGGGTGTCAGGGCTGGGGGCAGGAGCCACCTCTGGCCACTGTCACCTGGCAGAAGTGGAGGTGACTTGTGCTCACCTGTGACATTTTCCCCGCCAAAGGGGCAAAGGGAAGGGAGAGCTGTGGGCTGGAGGATGGGAGAACAATCCCACAACAAACAATGGCTCATCTTCGGGTCTTTGCCTACTCACCGCTTCCCAGCTGCCCCCATGCGGGCAGCTCCTCCTGAGTCATCCCACACCCTGCTCCTGCTCCCAGGGCTGAGTCAGGCACATCCCCACCTCCCCTGGAGCCTCTCCAGGACACGGGGACGTGGCCACGGTTGATGCTGCTGTGCTCATCCCCGGTTCTCCATGGCCCCTGAGCAGGGCTGGGCTCTGCCTCCCGCCCCAGACGGGCCCTGCCTGTGGGATGAGACATGGTGACACCACTGGGGACACGCAGGAGCCTGCTCGGAGCTTCTGGTGCCTCAGGAAATGTAGAGATGGGTGAGTGCTGAGTGCTGCAGGGTCTGGGGTGGCAGGAGTTACAGGAGTGGTTCTTCCATGGTCTCCCATCCCGTGTTTCAGCACAGATCTCCTTGCAGCTGAGCCTGCTGTCACACGGCAGAGCCCAGGTGACAACTTGTGGGTGCTCCTAAGGGTGGGGGACACTGGGCTAGACCACCCTGCTGATCTCTGCCAGGGCTCAAGGTCTTCGCAGCAGCTCCAAGGTGAAAGGGTTTGGCTGAGGAAGCTGAGAGTGGACAAAGGCACCGTCCTGCTGCCACCCTCAGATGTCACACACGCTGTCCGTGTGCTCTGTCCTCCCTGCCCCAGGGCTCTCCACCACGTGCAGAGGAGCACAGGCTTGGGAGAAGTTCACAATTCCCTGACCCTTGCTCCAGACGCCGTCCCAGACGCTCGCTCTGCTCTCGGTGCCAGTCGCTGTCCCATGGCCGGGAGAGCAAAGTCCTGCTGCTGGCCCAGGCGAGTTGAGAGCTCAGGAGAGCAGTGCTGGGGCTGGGAGGTCACCCAGGCTCCCAGGGTGAGGAACCCCAGGGATGTGAGGCTGCTCTGAGGGTCACAGGAGCCCTGGTGCTCACAGGAACGAGCCCAAACCCTGCCGAGTTCAGCGCCTCGGACCCAGGCGTGCCAGACAGGGAGATGCAAATGATCCTCTCCTCTTGCTGGGAACGAACAGGAGAGAAGGAGAGGCAGGATCCTGTGGCCACATCCCTGAAAATCATCTTTGTGGCCCCCAAGCAGAGCTGCTGAGGGGTTTCACCCGGCCGAGCCGTGGCGCGGCCGTCTCCTCCTCGCTGCGGATCCCCGGGGCTGCCAAGCTCACAGCCTGGACACCAGGAACAATTTCCTCGTGGAAAAGCTGGTCAGGACTGCAAGGGGCTGCCCAGAGAGGTTTGGAGTGCCCATCCTGGAGGTGTCCCAAGGAATTTGTGGATGTGGCACTCGGCGCTCTGGGCCGGTGACGAGTAGTGATGGGTCCAAGGCTGGACTTGACAATGCTGAATGTCTTTTCCAGCCTTAATGATTCTATGGTGGAAGGGAGGAAGATCTCCCTCCTCCTCCTCTCCTCTTGGCTCTCTCTCTGACCAGAAACCAGAGCATGAAAACATTGACCTTGGCCCGGAGCCAGTGGAGAGAGCAGTGACTCTGACCTCCTCTCTTCACTTGAGGTTCCAGGTTGGGATTGTGGTGATGTAATTACCCTGAGCAACTTCCAGCGAAGGTTGGGAGGCCCTATTAATTACTGTTTACAAAACCTTCTGCTGTTCCTGGATGAAAGGGTCGACAGGGGAGAGCAATTATTAATGTTACTTGTCCCACCTCTCCTCCAGCCCAACACTCTTCCTCTAATTGTGCCTTGGTGCCTGCCTAATTTATTAAATGCCCACGTGGTGCACCCCAAAAGTCATTATCTGATGATTCATAGTGAGACAATAAAGAGCTGCAACTTCCTCTATAAAACATGAGCCTGCAGTTTAGGCACTCATGAAAGCTGTTCCAAAAATCACATTTGGGATTTTTTGGGATGTCCAGGGGGATACAATGCTCCCTGCTCCTCAGGGATTTGGGACCCGGCACCTGCACATCTGCAGGCAAGAAAAGCTTCTCCTGCGTGGGCACTGGGAGCCTCCAGCTGCAGATTTAGGGCTGATTTCCTCTGCACCCTCCAGGAGAATGGCAAAGGGATGGCAAAGCTTCCTGGGATGACACAGCAGCAAAAGGGCTGCAGGAAAAGGAACGTCCCAGCAGCGAGGCAGAGGTGACAGGGACAAGGGACAGGCTGGCTCCCCGCGGCCACACGGCACTGCTGGCTCCAGAGAGCTCCATTCCCCAAGCTGGGAAGCAAAGAGCACGCAGGATTTCACTGCTCCAGAGCAGACAGAGCTCTGCTCCTTGCAGATTGCCCCAGGGTTTAGCATGGCAGGGCTCAAGCCCGCAGCGGGTTTCACCCAGACATGGACAGTCCCCACGTGGGGAGTGCTGCCAGTGCTGTCCTCGCCCTCCCAGCCCCGTGCCAGGCTGTGTTGGCACACTGGACTGAGATCCTGGTGACAAAGCCTGTCCTGCAGGCAGGACACGGTGGGGAGGGAAGCGGGAGCTGAGCAGTGACAGGAGGCACCAGCTGAGCAGGAGGAATTGGGTTAAAACGTGGGCAAGTGGCTGAGAGCTGGGCTCCCTCCCCGTGCCCGAGCTGGCCACCCTGGGCACTGCCTGCGGCGTGTGAGCAGGGCTGGGATGGGGCACAGAGCCCTGCAGAGCTCCCTCGACACCTTCAGAGCCACAGCTGGGAGCCGAGGCCTCGGCACGGCTGGGACCACAGTGGGAAAATGTTCTTTTCCCTCAGAAACCAAGCTCAGCGCTGTTCTCATCCCCCTTTCACGAGTGCTCGGCTTTTCCTGGGGTAAACACAGCACCCAGGAGAAGTGACATGGGCAGGGAAGGAAATCCTCTGCCCCCCAACCGAACCCACGCTGTCCCACCGAGGTGTTCCTCAGCCAGGACCCACGGCAGACAGCTCAGCTCCTCCCCAGTTTCTTGCTGAATGCAGCAAATCCAAGCCCAGAGCTCCCAGAGTAGCTTTGAACCCATCCCTCTTTGCATCCATGCACATCCAGCAGCTGATTCCTGCCTCAGTTTCCCCACCAGGACAGCACGGATGAGAAAAACACACGAGTGGGTGCACAAGGGAGTGAGTGAGGATTTATCTTTTCACAGCAGGCTCTGGGGTGAGGATAAATGGGAATTCAGCTAAAATCGAGTGGCAAAGCCATAAAGTGCCCCCTCACCTGCCTCGCTGGCACCTCCCAAAGCATTCCTGTGTGGCCAGGGCTGGGGACACCAGGGTGGCAGCAGGGCCAGCAGGGCTGGGGCTCCCCACACAGCCTTGCTCTTCCCCCCATCGCCTGCAGAAAAGGAAGAGGCAGCAGTGTCATCACAATCCTCTGCTTAATTAAAGCCCTCCTGTGGCACTGAGCTAATTAAAAGGCAGCTCGGTGCTTTGAGAGCTCTGGACTGGATGTGTCTGAGTGTGCAAGCACCCAGCACCGTCCCAGCCCCTTCCTGAGGGAGGGAGGAGCACCCTGGGGTCTCCCTGGTGTCCCCCCTGGCTCAGCCACGAGCCAAGGCCAGCAGGGCCCCTCTGGAAGGGCAAGTGGCCAAGAGCACCCACCTGCCCCCAGCCCAGGGCACCTTCCAGGAGCAGCCACAGGGCTGGGAGGAGTTCCAGCCATGGGACAATGACAAACCAGCACCCTGATGCTTTTCCCCTGGGACGAGGGGAGGCAGAAATCCCCGAGGAGCTGCCCTGGGATTGCCTCCAGCCCCTCTGCCCGCCATGAGCTGCTGCTCACCGCCCGGGTGATGCCATCACCAGGAAATCAACACCCATGGGCACAGGCAGACATTCCAGTGAAACTCCCAGCGTGGCCCAGATCCATTTTCCTGTCAGCCCCGGCGTGGTTGGGACAGCAGCAAACGCCCTGGGGTGCCGAGGCAGCTGCAGCTTGTGAATATCAGTGACACTGCCTGTGACAAACACAGCTGCCACCGCTGTCCCGGCTCTGCTCCTTCCATCCAGCCTGGGAGGAAGGAGGGATGCAGTGCAGGCTGGGCAGTGAGACCAGGACAGATGGACACACCACTCAATGGCTGGGCTTGATGATCCTGCAGCTCTTTATCAACCTTAACCCTCCTGTGATCATTGTGCATCAAAGGCCAACCCTCCTGATGCTCCTGCAATGCTGATAGCAAAGGGACACCAAAGTTCTCAGCCAGAAACTGGACTCTGAATTTTGTGAGGCCTGTTAAAGGCAGGGAAGTTAGATTCGCCCTCAGTAACTGGTTTTTCATCAGTAGGTTATGCCTTAGGTCATCACTGAAATGGTTAGGGTTGGAAAAAACATCCAAAAACCATCAAGTCCAACAATTAACTCAGCACTGCCAGGGCCACCACTAAACCATGTCCTCAGGTGCCACATCCACCTCTCTTGGAGATCAAATCTTCCACAGTGACAGCAGAGGAATGGGAGAACTTTCCATCCTCAGACTGTCAGGAGCTCCCCCACCCCGAATTCCAGCCTCCCACAGGGAGCACTTTGCCTCTCACAAAACGAGCTCTGACTGTGCCTTGGGTTATCCCTGGCCACGCCACCCAGACTCATCTCTCCTGTCCCCTCTCCAGGTCATCGCCGTGGTCATGGACATGTTCACCGACGTGGACATCTTCAAGGACCTCCTGGACGCCGGCTTCAAGAGGAAAGTGGGAGTCTACATCATTTTGGATGAGACCAACGTGAAGCACTTCCTTCAGATGTGCGAGCGAGCCCACATGCACGCTGGACACCTGAAGGTAGGGATGACCCGAGGGTCTGGAGAGCAGCAACCTTCTCCAAAGGCAGGAGATAATCAGAGTTATCATCCTACTCCCTCCTGCCTTGGGAGAGGCACCCCACTTGTGAAGAGTTGAGTCCATTTTTCCTGTAGCCAAAGCTGGAGGTGATGCCCAAACTCAGGAGCAGCGTGGAGGGGTGGGTGAGAGGATGGGATGTGGATTTACAGCCAGCAAAGCTGGATGCAGAAAGCCCAGGGGGCTGCTGGTACCCACCCGGGCCAGAGCAGAGGTTGAGGGGTGCAGCCCTACAAGGGTGGGCACAGCAAAGCCCGGGGCAAACCTGTGAGCTCAGCTCCTCCCGAGGAACGAGCTGGCGAGGGAGAGGGGGCAGTAGATGCTGTGCCAGGGCGGGATCTGTGCTGCCACCAGCTCCCTGCTGCCGTGCCCCGGGGCAGGACCGGCACCGCCGCCGCTCTCAGGCTCTCCCCAAGTCGGAGGCTGGCGTTAAAAACTCGATTTTCCCCTTTTCTGGATTTCTGGAGCCTCTGCCCCAGCACAGGGCCGGGAGCGGGGCAGGGAGGCTCCCACGCTGCCCGAGGCCCTGGCAGCTGTGAGGGATGCCCTGGCTGCTCTCACTGAGCTGGGCAGCGCACGCTGCAGGGACTGACCTGCCCGGGCGCACACGGAGTCACTCCTGTGCACGGATCCCACGGAAAACCAGGGAAGGCAAAGCTCAAGGAGGGATGCCTGGCAGCGCAGGGGTCGGTTGGATGGGGCTTGGAGCAACCTGGTGTGGTTTGAGCTGTCCTTGCTCGTGGTGAGATTTAAGGTCCCTTCCAGCCCAAGCGATTCTGGGATTCCCCTTCCACGGCCCTGTGTGAGCAGAGGTGCAGAGAAAATCACAGAGCTGTCATAGAGCTCGTGCGAAGGCAGAAGGGGCAGAGGAGAGGACGGGGGGGTATTTCAGCCTCAGGAGCAGCAGCCAGAGCAGGGACCCTCACCCCAGCCACAGGACAGCCCCAGGCTCAGCACCCCCATCACCAGCACAGCACGCAAACACACAGGGCAGCCCCACAGTCCCACTGGGGGCTTGCAGACCCCCACTCCCAGCCAGCACGGCTCGGCCTCGCCTGTTGCTTGGCAGAAAAGCGATGCTGCCGCTCCCGACGTCAGCCCAATGCCCGCCGGCAGGGCCCGTGCCTGGGCAAGCTCCCCAGATCTGCTTGGGGTGAGGGCCAACCCCTGGCTGAGCAGGAACACGTAGGAGCCACGACACCCTCACACCTGGAGGCACGAGACGGGGAGCGGGGGCTCGGGGACCCCCCAATCCTGGCACCTTCCCCAGCTGCCCTGCCCGCCAGCCCGGCTTAATTGCTGCTCCCAACAATGAGAGCGAGCTCAGCCCGGCTTTTTCCTGCGTCCAAACTCCCTGGAGAGCCTGGCACCCCGCGGGCTGCTGCTGCTGCTGCTTCAAGACCAGAAAAGCCAGCGCTGACGCACTCCGGTGTTTTCCTGCATTAGCAGCCCGGTGGCAGGACTGGAAAAGCAGGAGAACATCTGCAGAGCTCTGCAAATGTCTGGAAGTTGGGATTTGCCACATATTGCAGCCAATTCGCTGGCACGGGGTGCAGGAGGAGGTGAGGAAAGTAGGGCAGAGTCTGGGAGCTGCTTCTCCAGGCGGGAGATGTTAACGAAACGTCCCTCGTTATCTCCCGGTGCCAATTAGCAACCGGCTTGGGCAAGGCGGGCGCTGCTTGAGCAAGGGCTGCCTGGGGAGTGATTCACCCAGCCCAGCTCCTCGGCTGGGGTAAAGAAGCAGATTTTACTTAACAGCACTGACAGGAGGAGGAAAAGGAATCAGCACCGGGAGCGTTGTTGTCTGAAAAACACCCGGAGCTGCTCCTTGGGTTTGGATGTCAGCTCCGAGCGGGTGACGGGCAGAGGGTGAAGCCTTGGGGGTCACTGCTCTCTCAGCAGCCCCATCACATGGGACAGGGGTGGGAATTGCCATCCCAGTCCCCCCAGTGCAGCACACTGGCCGGAATTAGGATGCTCAGCACCAGTTTCGCCCCAGCCGCAGCAAGCAAAAAGGAAAATGCTAAGAAAAACATGAAATGCACAGAAAATTCCCCCCCCCAAACTTTCTCTGTTCAGTGAGTGGAAACGCAGTCAGGAAAGCTGTGGCTTTCACATCATCTGCACTGAATTTTCCTGCTAGGGGTGGGGGAGCAGGACTAGGAGTGCACCTGGGCTCAGGACTTTGCCTGGTCATGATCTCTGGGGAGAGAGGAGAGCCCAGGGAAGCAGATGAGAAAGGCTGGAGGAGGGGAAGACAAATATTTTTGATGCTTTTCTTTAAAAAACAAAACAAAAGACACAATAAAACAGTCGTGGAGGGCATGACCCAGTGATGACACAGAGCCTTTTGCAACAGCATTCTCAACATCCCAGCAGGAACAGGAGGAATGCAGGCGCTTTCTTAAGAAAATATTTTCTCCCCACCCAAAAGGAGCCCCTTTGCTTTGGGAGATTCTATCTGCTGTGCTGTGGAATGTGCCATGGAGACACCGGAGACAGGAGCCAGACCGGGGATAAAAAAAGAACAAAAGCATTTTCACAGGGCCAGGGCTGCCCCTGCATCACTGGCTTTCCTGGGGAGGACACCCAGCTCCACTCCAGGGACCTGCTTCCCACATCACCAAGTTTCGTTTCCTGAGGGTGAAATGTTTCCCCACTGCCTGATTTCCCACCAGCCCTTAAAAGCAGGATTAGATGCCCGAATTTAGGAGTGCAGCAAAGGGGGAGCGTGGGGAAGGACAAGCCCACCGCCAGCAGGTCCACGTGGGCTGTCCTGGGGTCACCACCTCCCCCTAAAACCCCTGAAGATCTCCTGTGGGAGCAGGTGTGGAACCTCCTCTCCCATGGTGGCATTTGCATAGATTGCAGGAGCTGAGGAGCGCTTGGCAGCACCACCACACAGCCCTCGCCCACGGACACCGGGTTCAGGAGATGGCAAACACAGCCTGGCACATGGGCAAGGCAGGAAACTCTCCAAGCCCAGCCCATGGTGGCCTTGGGCGAGTTATTTTATCTCCCCATCGCCATGGTCTCTGCTGAGCCGGCCATGAAGAACATTCCCAGTCCTCGGAGGGGCTGTGAGCATCCGGAGGGGCGTTCCTGGAGGGGTGGGTGGTGGTCTCACACCACCTTCCCTCCCACCCACACCTCTCCCTTTGCCCTGCAGAACCTGCGCGTCCGCAGCACCGGGGGGACGGAGTTTTTCACCCGCTCGGCCACCAAGTTCAAGGGGGCTTTGGCCCAGAAGTTCATGTTTGTGGACGGGGACCGAGCCATGTGTGGCTCCTACAGGTAAATCGGTGACATCTCCTCTTGCCCACCCCATGGAGGTGTTGGTCGAAGGATCGATGCGAACCCTCGTGTTCCAAGGACCCCCTGCCAGGCTTGGCTCTCCTCATTCTAAACCGGGAGGAGATTTTATAAGATTTGGAGTGGGCCCTAAGGGGTTCCCACTAGTCCCTTCACCGCCAGGTCTAGGACACCCACCCTTCTTGGAGGTGATGGGACACACCAAGTGTTTCTTGGAAGGACCAAAGCACCAAACCACCGCCGGTCCCAACTCTCACACCAAGCTCAGCTTTCCCAGTCGATGTCCTACACAAAGTGTTTTTCAGTTTGTTCAAAGGAAAACTTACTTAGGTAGAACCAGACCAGCCCTGTTCAGGTTTCAGGTCTAAAGGGCAATTTTTACAAATGTGGAGCTGAAACATTTTCTGGCCATAACAAATAACACATCCACTTACAAGTGAGTTACTTCTCTTAACCCAAACTGAGGCAGGAAAATCAGCAAAAAACTGACCCACTGCAAATACCTTTTATTTTTACTTCAAGTCCTGCTGTGCTCAGGACTTCAACCCTTCACTCTAATTTGGGATGGGAGCTATTTTGTCAATCCCATTATTATTAATGTTTACAGTGAGATCCTGTCCCTGCTGGCTCCATCGGTCCCCCGGGGAGGGCCAGGGCAGGGGAGAGGTGTCATTTACCTGTTTAGAGTCTCCAGTGTGTTTTTGTTCCAGCTTCACCTGGTCCGCGGCGAGGACGGACCGGAACGTCATCACGGTCCTCTCGGGCCAGGTGGTGGAGGCGTTTGACAAGCAGTTCCAGGAGCTCTACCTCATGTCCAAGGGGGTGAGCCTCAAGTCCATCTCCGTGGGCGAAGAGCCCGAACCCGAGCCCGTCACGCTGCCCTCCGTGGTGCCGGTGACCCCCGCCAATGCCGTGGTGAAGAAGCTGATAAACCCCAAATACGCCCTGGTGAAGGCCAAGAGTGCCGACCAGATCAGCAAGACCTCGTCAGAGAACCAGGACAAAAACCAGAAGAGCGACAACAAAGGAAAAACACCTCCCGAGGGCCAGGGGGGCGACCGGCACGGCGACGTGGCCGACCTCTCCCTGCTCATCCACCCCGGCCTCCTGAACCTGGAGAAAGCCAACATGTTTGACTACCTGCCCACCTGGGTGGAGCCTGACCCCGAGCCTGGCAGCGAAGTCTTGGGCTACATCAACATCATCGACCCCAAGGTGAAGAACGTGAAGCTGTCGCAGATGAACCGCATCAAAGTCTGCGACGTCTCCCAGGCCAGCGCCCAGCACCGGCAGATGCTGAAGAACCGGGAGATGGAGGCCAGGAGGAACTCGGACCAGGAGCTGCCTCTGCTGTCCCCCAGCCACAGACAGATCCCACAGCCCCCCATGGAAGCTCCTGCAGCCCCCGCTACCACCCCCATCGAAGGCATCAGCTGGACAGCGAGGCAGGTGGGGACATTTGCCTCTTCACCGCTGGGCCACCATTTGAAGCCACAGGAGGAGGTGCTGGGGGACGTCAGACCTCCAGTTCCAAAGCCAAGGACCGTCCCTGTCGGTGTCCTCATGACCAAAGTCACGACAAGCTGTGACAGCAGCATTGCCCTGGGGGGTGACACGCAGCCACTGCTGGCTGACTGCACGGGTCTGAAGCAGGAGCGGGAGGAGAAACCCAACCGAGCTTCCAAGGAGACCTGCCACGTCCAGCCAGACCGGCCAGCAGCAGCTCCACAGGAGGACAAGGGGCCTCCCTGTGCCCACAACGGGCTGGGAGAAGAGGAGGAGGAGGAGGAGGAGGAGTACATCACCCTCAGTGACCAGGAGAGCTACTCCAGCAGCTCTGCTGACCACAGCTACCGCCGCTCCAACGCCTCCTCCATCTCAGACGAGTACTTTGAGGTGAGGGACCGCTACGGGCCCCTCCGGAGAACCAACTCGGACGTCACCCACAACGGGGAGATCCTTCCCATGCAGAGGAAGCTCAGCGACCCTCATATCAGCCGGGGCACCTTCGTCAGCCCCCTGGGCAGCCTCCCCTCCCTGAAGCACGTGCGCTTGGAGGACGTGACGAAGAGGAGGAGCAACGCCGTGGAGATCAGGCCCATGCTGCCCCGCGCCATCCTGGATGGCAACAGCTCCTACCCCAGCAGTGCTGCCCAGGTAGGACTTTTTGCTGTGACCTTTTGTTTCTCCACCCTACAAAGGTTTGCAAACCCGGAGGTGGCCCAGTCAGCTCAACCCAGGTGTGATGTCATCCTGAGTTTTTTGGTGTCATCCCCACCTCTGGTGCTGTCCTAGATGCTGAGATCAGACTTTCCATAAAGGAGAATAACACCCTGCACTAAGAGTGCCCAAAGACGTGGTGACCATTCCACAGCTGTTGGTGTCCAGCACTGGGGATGGCTGTTAAAGGGGAGGGTTTTGGTAATTAAAGATTATATAAAGATAATTAAAGCACTGGGCTGGGGGTGGAGCTCCAGCCACAGCTGCACAGATGTTCTGGGGCTCGCTGAGCTCCATCCTCAGCCCATCAGCGGTGGCATCACGCCCAGCTGGGGACAGACTGCACATGCAGGCGTGTCCCTCTCAGGCTTGTTTTGCAGCGCCTTGCCAGGGTGATTAGCATCAAAGGGAAAGCGCTCGGACACATAATTAGGCAGAGCAAGACAGCGGAGGAACAGGGACAGCAACCTCTGTGGGCGAGTGCCACAGTCAGCAGCTTTGTGGCTGATCCACGAGTGACGCCAGCCCCTGTCACCGCGCAGGGCCAGCGCCCTGCTGCAATCCTGGGGGCAGCAGTGCCAGAGCCCCGCTCACGAGGTCACAGCAGCATCCCCAGCACGGCCTGAGCATCGTCCCACGCAGGGCTGATGACACTGCCATCCCCCCGTTTCCACCCCGGCTCTGCAGCCTCCTGCCAAGCATTCCAGGGCTTCTCAAGGCTCCCCGCCCGCTGCTTTTGGGGCATTCCAACCCCCAGGGCTAAACCAGCAGCTGAAATCACTGAAACTGCCTGAGGTTACCCCAGCTGAGCACCTAATCTGTATTTACAGGGAATTTAATGTGCCATCCCAGAGTCCACTTGCTTCTCCCTTCCCAGGCAGCGACAGGGAGCTCAGAGCTTTAATCCTTGCACATCAAATACCCCCAAAGCCCTGCAGGGCAAGGAGCATCGAGCTCTTTGATGCTCTGTGACCCAGGTCCCAGGTGCCACCTTGCTGGGGACGGCTGGCTGGGTACGCTGGTGTTCCTGCAGTAACTTGTTCTGGCCCTTTGATGAGAGGCAGATAATTAGCACAGCATCGGGGTTAGGAAAGCCAGCACTCAGTGGAGAGGTGCAGGGAAGGGTTTCTCCCATGTGTAAAAATAATAAATTGAAGTAACCCTTGATTAACTGTTGAAAACTCAAATTTGACAGAAATCATTATCAAGTCTCCCAAGTATTATTTTTTTTTCTGGGTCCACATTTCTTAGGTGCTAGCCCATTGCCCAGCATAGCCCAAAACACAGGTGGAGGCTGACTCAGGGCAAAAAAATCATGTTTTCCATGTCATAGAAACCAATTCCTCTCCCAGTTTCCCTCTGGAAACCACCTTCCCTAAATACACAACCCCATTCACAGCTGGATGCACAGCAGGCGGAGGAGGAGGGACACCTGGGTCCTGTCCTGCCCCCTCCCATTCACCCCTCAGGGTCAGGGAATGCCCACCCCACCAGTGCCACGGCCACATGGGGGGCCCTTACCTGGGTGCCCCACCCTGCTGACCACCCCTGGCAGATGAGGAGGAGCAGGGGCAGCACCTTCAGGTCTGGGCAGGATGGAGCCGGCCTTGGTGTGGCTCGGGTTTTTGGCAGAGTGACCTCTGGACGATGAGCTGTGGAGAGCCAGGCAGGAGGGCTGAGCAGCTCCAACATCTACTCCACATCAGCCTCTTCCTTGCCAAACTGCATCCCAAATGCTGGAGCCCCTGGGCATCGGGCCCAAAGGCAGTGTAGCCATGCACCCAACCCACAGTGGGGCTTCTCTCCAGACCAGTAACGGGTTGGGGTTACCCCGGAGCACCAAAAAAGCCCAGTGCAACCACAGCAGCACATCCTCCAGCCAGCAACCACCATTCCCCACCACCATCCCACCCCCCTTGCCCCTTCTAGCCACTCTCCTCCCCAAAGAGTGCCCACAATGACACAGAAACCGAGTCCAGCCTCCTCCTCCTCCTCCCACAGCTCCACTCAAACCATCACACCTCGAAGCTCTGGCCAAGCCGTGTCCATCCACAACACAGCCACCCCTGAGGCTTTGAGGCAATCCCTCCTAAATAGGCAACACCTGCAGGAATTGCTGATTTCACAGAGCTCAGAGTCCCTCCAAAGGCTCCCAGCAGGATTCAGGCTCCCCTGGGCAGGCACTGCCTCATTCTGCTGGCGGGCAGGAGGGGCAGGGTGCCAGTTCCTGGGGTGGGATATTTGGTTTAAGCCATGGTTTAACTTCTTCCCAAGAGCCAGAGCATGTCAGGAGCCACAGGAGCCACCACCCAGCTCAGGCACATGATGAGCTCAGAGGGAGAAAAGCCAAATCACCCTTAATCCTTCTCACCTGAAGCCATCTCAGACCTTAACACTGATTTTAAGCATCTAATTAAATCAATCTCAGACTACCTAAGTTAAACTGCTTTAACACAACCCTCCTGGTCAAAGCAGGAGGTGTCAGCTGCAGGGTCAGGGAGGACTTTGGGATTGCCTGACAGTGGAGGCAGAGGCAGGGCAGGTGGGCACAGCCAGCTCTGCATCCTGCTGGCCCCAGCCCCTCCTGCCATCTGCACCTTGGTTCACCAGAGCCACCTCCCCTGGTACCTCTGCACAGGTGCCATCGCACCTCCAGATCACGGCACAGGCACACCCAAAGGGGAGATAAACATCTGGCAGCCACAGCCACGTGTGACAACCTGGCCCAGTCCAGAACTGGGATTAATGGTGCTCAGAGCCGACACAAACGCGTGTCCCAACCCAGCTGATGAGAGCCACCCCCGCAGTGGTGGTGCAGCTCAGTGCTGATCCCACCTCCTCTCCCAAGCCTCCTGATCTGATTTCATCTGATCCTGGCACTCACCTGCTCCCACAGGCTGGGGCTGGCTGACTGAACTCCTCGGGGCTGACGTGAGGGCTGAGATGGTTCACGTGGGTGTTCAGGCTGCTGCTGGAGAGAAGGTGTTGAGATGCCTTCTCCTGGATTTCCAGGCAGGAGGAACTTGGGCTGGGGACAGCCTCCAGCCTGCCAGGGCTGCTTGGGACGTGTCAGAGAGTTTGCCACCGGAGTCAGGAATCAGCTGGGGTTGATATTTGAGGATGTTCCGAGCTGCCGCCGAGTTTGGGCAAGGGACCAAGGGACAGAGGGGTTTGCCCACGAGGACACAGGTGAAGAGGTGGCCTTGCACCCTTCCAGCAGCCAGAGCTGACGGCGTCTCTGCTCTCTCCCAAACAGGGGGCTCCCATCTACCGCTACCGGCCCAGGACGGCGGCGGGCAGAGAGCCGGGCAAGGAGGCCTCCTGCTCCCCGACGCACGAGAAACCCCTCCGGGCCACCAAGTACCGAGGCGAGGGAGCAGAACCCAAAAAGACCATTGCAGGCAGCCAGCCCTACTGGCAGAGCAAAACCTTCAGCCCCAGCAAGCCCACGGCACCCGGGCACCTTCCCCCAGACAGCCCCAGAGCGCCGGGCCAGCGCTTCAGCTCCCTGCCCGAGGGCCAGAAGCCGCCCGAGGAGACGAGGACACCCCTGGGCATCCCGCTCTCCAAGCTCTCCCAGTCCAAGCACCTCAAGAACAGGGTTGTGGGCGCTCAGGGGGCTTCTGTGGACTCCAAAAAGCCACCCGCCGAGCCCACGGGCCAGAAGGACCAGTAGGGGCTGGTGATGGTGGCCTCGCAGAGCTGGTGGAGCCCAGGCAGGCGCCGCCTCCCTTGGGGCAGGGGGTTCTTGTTTACATTTGCCAGCAACACGTGGCCACGATGGACAGCCCAAAATCATCCCTGCCCAGGGCACAGCCCCTGGGGCTGGGTCTCAGAGGGGTGCACGGCATCCGCCCTGGCAGGTGGCAGCAGTGTTGGGAGCAATCTTGGACGGCACAGCCTTTAGATGGGTCTCTTCCAGGCTGGGGTGGCCTCCGAGCTCGTTAAAAGCTGGGAAGCATCACTGGGGGAGCTGGCACCCTGTGGTCTGTGGGCAAACCCAGCCAGCTCCTCAACCCAGAGCGCTGCCTGGAAAAGGAGGGATCGTCTGTGATTGTGTTTTCTTCTGGTTATTTAAGAGACTCTTCTGTTACCATTTTGCACAGCGGGTCCCACCGCAGTCTGCCCTCCCTTTGGAGGGTGAGCCGTGTCCTGGGACAAAGACTCCTCAAGGGACCCCCCTCTTTTAAGCTTGTACTGTACAAAAGCAACTTGTTCATTAAAGCTCCCTGGTCCCACGGCAGGAGAACCTCACCTAAGACTATTAAAATGCAAAGTTAGGTGGCCTTGGAGTCAATAAACTGCAGCTCAAGGTGCCTTGGCACTAATGTCCAGCCAAATATTTTCTATCCCCCTGAGCATTTCCCCAGCACCCCGAAACCTCCAGCAAGCAGTAAAAGAAAAAATAAGAACAGAAGCCCCTTTTCACTGCATTTTTCCTAGGAAATGGGAGCCAAGGTCTGAGCCTGAGCCCTGACAAGGAGTGTGTGCCATGAACAAGCCCTCACAAGCCAGCCCCCAAGCCCTTGGCAGCTGCCCCGTGCTCCTCCTCAGAGCTGCCAACCAGCCCTGGGCTCTGCCCTGCTCCCCACTGCCTCCCTGCTCCTGGGGGGCATGGGCTGAACCCTCCTTGCAGCACCCCCAAACCCACAGCAGGAGAATTTCGGAGCCAGAGGCATCACTTTTTGGAGGGAGGGAGGGATGGGAGGCATGCCCCCATGGCCACCCACGCAGCAGCCTGGGGAGATGGGCAGGGAGGGGCACTGGCACCCCCAAACCCACGGCAGCTGCTGAGGCTTGGGAGAGGAGAGGAGGCTCCAGAGGCCTCACAGAGGGAAGGGAAGAGACAGAGCAAGCCCCAGGAGCATCCCTTGGTGGATTCCCACAGCTGGTCCTGCTGTCTCCTCCTGGATCCCTTCCATCCCTGCAGCCCAGAGGTGGGAACGTGCTCCTGGGCAATCTCCATCCCACAGGACCCTCCTGCTGACTTTAGCCCGAGGGCAAATCCCCCAGAGATCAGGCACTGGGATCACCCAGATCAAGTCCAGCTCAGCAAATCCCAATTCCCAAGCTTGTCCCACTGTCCCCTCCTGCCTGAGGACAGCCTCTCCCTGCAGCCCTCCCACTTCCATGGCCAGCCCCCAGCCCTGTCCACACCCCACAGCATCCCCCTGACCTGAGGCTTTTGGGGAGCTGGCAAAGGGGCATCACCCCCCCTGTTCCCCCTGGATCCATGCCCCGGTGTTCCACAGGGACTCAGCATTTGGGAGCTCCTCCTGCTCTTGTGCAAGGAGCCCTGGCCCCCCTCCAGGGCTTGGTTTATCCAGGCGCCGGCGACTCCCAAGCTTTGCATGGGCGTTGGGCACCAACAAAGGCTCTCCAGAGGCACAGGCCGAGTGCTGAAAGCAGAGATTTGTGCCTGGGGCTGCAGACCTGCTCCCTTCCCAAAAGTGTTCACCAGCAAGTCCCAGCAGCCACGCCTGCCAAGGAGGAAGAGCAGGGGAAAACCCTGCAGGCAGCAGGAGCTCAGCTGGCAGGGGCTGGGATGCAGCACAAGGGCTCTGCTGGGATGAAATCCCCGTGGTGAATGGCTGGTGGGGTGGGATGGCTCCAGTTTGTCTCATCTGTGATGCCAGAGCTGGGCAGAGCCGTCACCGAGGTCTCTGTTCAGCAAAGGGGGTTTAAAGTGACAGAGGGCAGGGTTGGATGGGGTTTTGGGAAGGAATTCCCAGCTGGGAGGGTGGTGAGGCCGTGGCACGGGGTGCTCAGAGAAGCTGAGGCTGCCCCTGGATCCCTGGAAGTGTCCAAAGCCAGGCTGGACGGGGCTTGGAGCAGCCTGGGATAGGGGAAGGCATCCCTGCCATGGCAGGGAGTGGAATGAGATGAGATTTAAGGTCCCAATTCCTTCTTGGGTTTTTTTTGGTTTTCTTTTTTGGGTTGGGCTTGCCGGGGGTTGGGTCAGGTTGGGCCCCTTTGGGGACCCCCCCCTTGCGGTTCTTGGGCCTTGGGGAAAACCTGAGCAACCAGCAGCTTTGTCTTCTGGCTCCCCTGGTCCTTCCCTGTGCCAAGCCCCCTCGGCTCCCTGCAAACATCGTGCCACGTTTGCAGGCAGCAAAGCCAAAACAAACCGGGCTCTGCAGCTGCCCTGGGGCATTTTCCAGCCTTTGCCTCCCTGCCCTCCTCCTCTGGCTGCTCTGCACAGCTGCACCTGGCAGAGACAATCCTCAGGGAGCCCCACGGCCAAGGACAGCTCCAAACCCCAAACAACTCCCAGCATCCAGGCACTGCGGCCACTGCTGGGATCTGCCCCGACAGGCAAAGCCCTCGTGTGCCTGGAGCAGCTCTGTGCTGCTCTGTGCTGCTGCTGGGGTGGATAAATGCTGCTGTCCCTTCTCCAGAAAATCTCTGTCCTTTCATCTTACTTCTGTGAATAGGCCTTGCTGCGTGCAGGGCTCTGCTTTGGCACAGGGCAGCAGCCACAGGACTGGGTCAGAGCCTTTCCCACCTCCCTGCCTGCAGGAGATGCTGGAAACCATCTCAGGAGAGCCTCTAAAACCATCCTCTCTAGTTAAACACCTGCCTTTGAAGCTGGGACCTGACTTTTTGCTTCCTGCTCCTCAGGGCCAAGAGCCCCGATGGCAGAGCCAGGCTGATGAAAGCTCCCGGCCTCCTGAGGATGCTCTGAGGCACAAAAGGGGGAGACACGACAGTGCTGGGGGCTCAGGAAGGGCTGGAGATGAGCCACCCTCACTCCAAGCCAGAGCAGGGCACCAGGATCCACCTCCAGCCCTGCAGCAGTGCCTTGCTCCAGCCCCACCTCCTGCCAGGCACGTCCCTGGGCTCTGGGATCCTCTTTGCAGACCCCACCAAAACTCCTGGAGCAGAACTGGGAATTCTGCTCTGCTCTCAAACCCCTGATGAGCCTCAGAGCGAGACACAAACCTGTGCAGAAGTGCTGTCCCCAGGAATGTCACCAGGGCAGGGGACAGCCCCACATGGAGCTCCAGGGGGATGTCTCACAGCACCTGCCCTGGTGGAAGGGCACAGGGGGGCAGAGGGGACACAGGGGACCACAGATTTTATTAAAGTGACTGCCCCAAACCAGCGGGACCTCATATTTTATTAATGATTGGCCATCAGGCTCAAACAATCCTCACCAGAATCCAACCAAGCATCACCCCAGGTAAACAATTCTCCAAACACATTCCACATGGGAAAAACAAGGAGCAGAAATAGAAATTGTTTTCTCTTTCTTCCCTCTGTGCTCCTCTATGAAAAATCCTGAGAGAGAGAAGAATGTGCCTGCCCCACATTTTGCATCTTGAGTTGTTTCCTGTTTGCATGGCCGGGATGAGATAAGGAGGGAGGATTCACTGCTGGTGTCTCCAGTGGCACTACCAGGGGAGGGAAGGTCCCAGCAAAACAATGACCCAGAGGCCTGGCAGGGGTAAATGAGCTCAGAGTGGGGCTGGGAGCCAAGAACCCAAAATTTCCAACCCCAGCTCCATCACCTCCATATCACAGAGCCACCACATGGGTTGACCCTGCACAAAAGCACAACAGAGAAGCAGGGCCAAGAAATATTCCTGGGAGCTTTGGGAAGGGAGGGCTGCACTGAGGGCAGGGCCAGAGGGAGGGAAAGGGGCCAGGTCAAGGCTCTCAGGTTGTAGATTCCAAAATAATAATCCTGTAATAGGAGAAGCCCAGCTCATTGCTTGTACAAATAGGTACACACACGCAGGAAAGTGCTTCAGCAGGGCTGGGGGAGGAGTTATTACAAATAAAAAGGTGAATGACAAAGGAGAGGTCGTGGGTTGAGTCAGCACCTGCTGCAGAAAGTTGATCAGGGACTGGCTGGATGGGGCAGGGACACAAACCCCACTGGTAGAACCCCCTAAAACCCCTCCAGGAGCACAAGGAACAATAATCAAACAAAAGCAGAAGGGTGTGAGGGGTGTGTTTCAATGAAAGACAAAAATTGGAGGCCAGCAGATGCTGAGCAACCCACCTGGATTGGTGCAGAGCCCCTGAGCAGCAGCATCAGCACAGGGGACAGGTAAAGGTCCCAGCCCAGAGCTGCAGGAAGAACAGAATTGTGTGTGTTTGTGTGGAAAAGGAAACAGGAGCTGGCACGGGTGACACCAAGGGCTGCTGCAGGAGTGACACAGCAGGGAAACAGCACCTCTGTGGGGACAGTGAGGACGTGGAAACCTGGCATGGTTTGGATGGGAAGGGACCTTCAGGACCATCACATTCACCCCCTGCCACTGCCCCAGGCTGCTCCAAGCCCTGCCCAGCCTGGCCTTGGGCACTGCTAGGGATGGGGCAGCCACAGCTTCTCTGGGAATCTGTTCCAGGGCCTCCCCACCCTCACAGGGAAGGATTTTTTTCCCCTTGAATCCAATCTAAATCTCTCCTCTTTTATTTAAAACCATCCCCGCCTTGTCCTATATCTGCCCACATAAAAAATGGGTCTCCCTCTTTTTTATAAGCTGTTTAAATACTGGAAAGCCACGTTCAGGTCCCCATGGAGCCTTTTCTGAACCCCTGTGGCACACACCAGGACAATCCTGAGCCCCAGGGGTGCCCAGGTGTGTCACAGACCACCTTCCCCAGGCACAGGGAGCAGAGCAGGCAGCTCCAGCTGCCCTGGCACCCTCATGGGGCTGGGCACAGCCCTGTGGAAATGAGATATAAATCAGAGAATCAGAGCTGGGACACAAACCGTGACACCATGGCAGGACA